ATACGTGTGTGTATCTTTTATTTGACACAGTAGATGTAAACCTCCATGCATGTTGCGAGACTTTATGATTTCGGTCGTTGTGTAATCAAGTAACAATCCATTATGCGATTTATTTTAATTAAAACTTTTCAAAATATGTTACAGTTTCGAGTATTTTTTATTTATTTTCATATTCGTTTTAATTAATCATTTTATAATTATGTTTATTTCTAAAGGAATATATGTAACGGATCTCCGTGAACTATGACAAAGTATTAAGTAAACACGGGGTATTTTCCAAATACATGCAGCTAACTTAGCCAAATCAAAAACTCGTCAAAGATAAAACTCTGAAAGATTTCAACTTGAAATGATAAGAAAAGTGTGAGAAATTAATAATATATATACGGTCAGATTACACGCATCACTCCCTGTGGAGAACAGTCTTAATTAGCTACTTGAATCACACAAATCAATGTTGGTATCCCGGGGTGTGTAGGTTTATGCAGTACATGTAGTTGAAAAAGTTAATTCGTAAATATTTTTGTTAAAAACATATTTTAAACTTTATCATAGTATTGGGAAGTTTATGTGTTTTTCAGGGAAGATATTATTGTTAGTTAGCTTATGGTTATGGAAAAATTATGGAATAATAATTACTAGTATTGAAATTTTAATAATTAAAAAAAATCATGTCATTTGTTGTGTTAAAAATATAGCTGGTGCAACCAAAGAACCTAATCCAATTGATGTTTTATATGGTCACGATATATGGAATAACGATGAAGATTCTTCTTTTATGTCATAAATCCGAAGGATTTTAATTTCCACATGCATCCGCTACAATAACACCAGTCTAACCTTATAATAATATAATACGTGTCACGGTATTTTGTCAAAGATTTTCTTTGAAGCTTTTAGCAAATTTATTTTTGTCATAATAATGAAAAATATATTAAGATTGTTAATTGTTGGAAGTTCACTTTTCAACATAATGATTCCATTGTATACTTCATCCTCTCTCATGATTGAAAAGTGGAAAACACAAAAAAAACAAAAACATATACCTTGTGTTTTGCAAGTATTGCTACTTTAATGTAGAGTAAACATGTATACATTCACAATTATATTGTTTATCAAAGTCTTAAAGGATATAATCATACCGAATCATAAAAGTATAAGTGTTTGCCGATGACTTCGTAACCAAGCGTGTAAAATTCTCTATTCCATGACAAATATATTAAAGAATTTTCAATTTTCAACCATAAAAAGACGGGAGAATTACAAAAGTTAATTTTTAGGCAAAAATATCATTTTATTTCCCTGTCTTTGGAGATTATAAAAATATCGACGACAAAATAAGAAAATAACGAATACTATTTGTTATTGAAACAAATAGATGTCAGGGGTTCGCAAAACAATGCCTTCTCTGTATACATTAAACGGGCTACTTCGCTATTTATGGTAGCAAATTTTAAATCAAAAGTGACGGATGTTTAAAATATCTTATTTTCATAAAATTTACATCATTACACAGTTTAAACCTTTAATAAACTTTATTTAACGGCGCGAAGAAGATATTCAAAAGTTAATATAAAGTAATACGGGTATAAAAACTATTTGCCCATACAAATCTATAGTAAAATTAATCGCCGTTTGTGGACAATTACTAGCGCATGCGCATTAAAGACCGAACGAATTCTTGTACATGTGTTCTTTCGAGATCTGGTGCTGGTGAATAAAATACAGTGTTGTTTTAATGATTTATAAACAGCAATCTAAATTGAAGTGTGATATGTGATCAAATGAATTTGAATAAAATTCTTTATTTCTAACAAATCTATGTTAATGAAAATCTTTATTATGAATAAACTCATCCGTGATAGATACCAGGCCTGATTAAAATTTTGTACGCCAGACGCGCGTTTTGTTTACCTAAGACTCCTCAGTGACGCTTGGATAAAAAAAGTCAAAAGGCCAAACTTAAAGAATGAAGGTGAAGAGCATTCAGGACCCAAAATTCCTACAGGTTTTTCAAAATACAATTATGTTAATCTATTCATGTGGTAGAATATCCTTAGTATTTTCGAAAAATTCAAAGTTTTGTTAACAGTTAATTTATAGCTATGAACTTGAAAATGGTTTAAACTATACAATTTACAAACATGGTGAATAAAATACAATGTTGCTTCAATTATTTATTCCAAACAGCAATCTAAATTGAAGTGTGATATGTGATGTTGGGAGTTTGCGGACTTCCCCTTTTTAAAAACATAACATCACATGCTGATTGGAACTATTTTATTCACCTCTGAAATTTCAACGTCAATTTTGAATGTTCTTAGGTAACTTTCTATTTATCAATTATTCTTATTTTAATTTCATAGATTTATATGATTGACATATATACTGAGTGCCAATGAAAACGCAACACTAAGTTTTTTAGAAATAACATTTTTATACAAAATAATATTTTCTATGTAGTAATTGTTAATGACAGTTAAAGGGTTTATCTAAAGATAAAAGTCAAACAAAAATGTTCAATTGCCACGATTCGAATGCAATACGGTTATGCATCACAACGCTACAGTTCACTAACTCACAGTCTCAATAACGAATGTGTCCACCGCGTGCTGCAACGCAAGCTCTACAACGACGTGGCATTGACCTGACCAGACGTCGGATACGGTGTTGTGGAATGTTTGTCCATTCTTCCCGCAATGCAATTTCGAGTTGGCGCAGCGTAACTGGTGGTGGCTGTCGTCGTCTAACGGCTTGTCCAATTTGATCCCATAAGTGTTCAATTGGACTCAAATCCGGCGAAAAGGCTGGCCATGGTAATGTCTGAACATGGTTGTTGTTGATAAACGCAGTTGTGAGTCGTGCGGAGTGTGCACGAGCGTTATCTTGCTGAAAAAGATTAACATCTTGATGCCTAGCCATAAACGGTATACTTTATTTAGTTATGTATTAAAAGCAATTAATGGAAAAATCATTATTACTTAATTAATTTACAGGATTATTTTAGTGGACAATAGAAACACTTTTAAATTTATCATTTTCCTACGGCAAATGACATACATGTTTTAAAATGCTTTAAGAAAATGACAGATTATTTACTTGAATTCTCAACGTTACCTTAAAAGGTGTGATCAAAAGAACTCTAGAAATAAGATTTACTTTGTTATCAAAAATACGAATTATCTATTATTTAATCTTACATCATCTATTCTATTTCAAAACTTTAGCATGGCAATTTCATTTTTATTTCATCATCATACAATTTTTCATCATTATACGGTTTCCGAAGCTCAGTTGAACAATGAATATAGACACAAAATATACAGCGATATTGAATTGAATGGTGTCCCTTTGATCAATATTTCAAAATGCGGGAAGAATTTTGAGGACATCGATTTTTTTAATTGTTTCATGTATAATTTTCCATAAGCCTTCTGAAAATTTAATAAAGTCTTCTATTATCGAAAAGAGTATAAATCAAACGCCTGAGCATGGTCGTTAATGTCCGATCTCTTGTATGAAAAAAAATTTGTTAATACACATTTTGAACTTGAAATCACACATATTCATAAAAAAAATGCTGCATTGTTTCCAAAAGATAAATAGCCCTAACCTGATATACTGAGAATTTACAAGCCTTTTGCTATAAATACCTTTTCAAGGCTACTAACTTTTTAAAAACCTGCAATAAAAATATGTTTTTGTTTAAGAAGTTGTTCCATTTCTATAGATTTGTGTCATTTTAAGTTAAAAGACTCAGCTAAGAAATCTTGTTTTCAGCACTAACAAATGATAACTCAATTGAGGGATAGTTACTCACTAAGGGGAAAGTTCCCCATTTAATTGGTGGGTTGTCCCCAACCTGTATAAGGCAAGTTAAACTTAGTAAGAACTTGTGCTATTAAATTGGTAAGAAATATTGACGAAGCAAATCTAACCTGATTATTGGCAGTCCATTATGGTGTCAACGTATCACTGTTATGTGGATTGTTCGTGCATGTAAATAATTGTTTGTTAGTTTGTTAATTCTCCCATCTGCCTTTTCATCCCTTCTTTGAAGTAACTAGTACTTAAATGGGTGATTTCACGGATTTTCGTGAAATTTGGCTAGCGACTATAGAACACGTAAAACTGCATATGAATATAAAATATATATATACTTAAGTATATTTTGAACATCGGTAAATTACTGTCGCCTTAATTCATACTTTCCGAAATGAATAAAATCAAAGAAGCTGCAGATAGAAGTGCAAATGTTAGGATGCACGTTATTATCGAATTTTAAAAAATAATTTCACTTTGAATTAATTGTCTTTGGGGTCACCGCATTCGCTTTTTGTCGTATAGATCATTCATCTAACTACTTCGATTATATCAATAAAACGTAAGTTTCATATTTTCACATTTCCGATATTTATCTGCATGCTCTGCTTTCATACAAAATCTCAAGAAACTCTGTCAGATCGACCAATTAACAAATCACATTTAAAATCCATGAAAACGTCCTTATGCAACATAGATAAAAGTCTCAGAGAATGAAATATTTAACCAAGGAACACAAAAATCACTAAAATCTCCCAGTCAACCCATATAGCTGAATCGCAAAAGAGCGGGCTACACCAAAAAAAAAATAGTATTTGAGTTTTCGAAATCAAGTTATTTTTTGTAAAGATTTATTGGTCAAAATGATCCTTTCGTCGCTATAATTGAAAAAAAAAGCAAACAAATTTACACAATTTTTTGGTAGCTGTTTAAAAGTTAAATGAATGAAGTGTTTAAATATTCGGTGTACATGACTTCTGAAATAAAGTATTTCTTGTTTGCTTTGGGGATATATTATCTATCACAATCGATCGATTCACCCGATCCTTCTTGTTTTGATCGTCGCATTTTGATCAAAATAACATTAAAAGTCTTTTGTATTTCAACTTATTAGTATTACTGGATCAACGTGTTAACAGGTGTGAAGAAAGTTTTGGTCTCTGATCATCGAACCCTACCGCCATGTTGTTTACAGTCACCAAAGCAACTCATTTGCATATGAACTGCTATTAGTGTGAAATTTCACTTTTGAACTTTGACTACATTGGGATTTAAAAAAGTCTTCTGAAAGTTACAAAAATGTGAAGAAAAAAGTTGACGCAATTGTAGTGGATTTTTAAGTGTTTATATGTACATATAGTTTATTGGATAATAAAAGAAGGAATATATATTCATGGAAAGGAAAAAGTAAATTATATAAAAATGCCGCTAAAACAGGTAGGGACTTTAAATGGACAGAATACAAATACTTCTGTATTTAATTAAATCTCTTAAGTATTATTTAATGTCTGAAATATGCGATAAAAGCCGCATTACACTGTTAATGAATAACTATCTTCATTTTTAAAGATCTGAAAATAAATATTTGTTTTCTTCATTTTTTCTCCAATGATAAATTAACAGAATTTTCAGAATACATTTGATAAATATAGTAATCCTTAAAAAGCTCGCCCCTACTGTTCATGTGTGTTATAAAATGGAACATAGACACGCCAATGGAAAATAGACATAAATACCTACTTTATACATCATCTTGTCATTTACGCAAATTTTCTCAGTAACATCTTCATAAGTGCATGTGTAATCAGAGACATATAATACAATTCATGTATATTGTATTATATGTCTCAGGTGTAAGGAAGGGGCATGGGTGGGTGTACCTTTGAAATACAAACCTTTTTTCAACGTTGCAGTGCTGACTTCAAAATTAAGGTGAAGAGCTAAACTCTTACAGTAACAAGGTACACCCCACGACTGACAAACACACTTCGTGAAAGTTGGACCATTAAATGACAACAAATGAACAAATAAGAACAGTTGATTTTTCTGTTTTTGGCCTTTCTGGTTTTTGCTCTCCCTCCTGTTTTATATGTTTGACAATCCAAACATTTATTATCAAACATCTACATTACCTGACAAACTTAATTCAAGAAACACGTGTTGTGCGAACGAAAATCAAAGTCAGAAATATTTTGAGTGCAATGCAGGATGATTTTCTGTCCCCGAAAGAAACAAACTCCTCAGTGCCAGTATTTGCCACGATTCAAATGATACAATAGGTGTTGAAATTACAAGTTCAAAAAATACATTATGTGCTTAAGCTAATGTTGCAATTCCATCCGACAGAGTTGATCCGTGAGACTTTTTGGGTTGTTCTGTTTCGATGGGCCCTTTTGTGTTTTTGCTTCCAAACATGTTATATTTTTGGCTTTCCACACTAATGATCTCGAGCTTATTTGATGGGGGTTGTTCCAGACACACATGTTGTGCACACGGAATCATGTCAGACAAACAAGCAAACTGTTTTTTGTACGTTGAATCCCACTCTTATAGATGTTGTTTTAACATGATTCAGATCTTTTTTGTGTCTAGAAAATCTTTAAAATATAATGACATAAGTAATGAAAATTGAAAATGAAATTAGTAAATGCATTAATAATTGAAACAATTGTGATACAACGGTAAAATGCAGAGGCGGATTTAGAGGGTTTTCCAGGGCCCTGCCCCCCCCCCCCTTTTGTGGGAAAAATTTGGTTGATTATTTAGGTAATCACTGAAGCGTGACTGGAGCGGGCCCCCTCTTAGGCAGTCAGTGGGCCCCCCTTAGGAAACTTTCTGGATCCGCCACTGAAATGGGTTAAAACGAAAATTAGACAACCCAACATCACAAGCCCCAGTTAGCAAAAACTGCCGCCATGTAACATTAAACGGTAGGCAAGCTATCTGGATCCTTTTCGGTTCAAATAAGACGACTTCAGATCGCACCCTTACACTGAATTCCATAAAAAGTTAGAATGAAATCTTACAGAGAAGAGTGGCAAGGATCATTGAAAATAAAACTTAATGAGGTTAATAAATGAGTGTTCATAATTTCAAGCATCACTGTGTGAGGACATTATTTATCAAATGTGCATATGTTGCGATAAACAAATATAATATCTATTAAGTATGTACATGTCGGATTTAAAGTGCATCTATCTGCATGTCTTAAACAAGTAACATGAGAACAAACTGTACTAAATGCCCTTGAAATATTTGTCAGAATTTACATTATGTGATACATTTTTATCAATCAGTATATATAATCCTAAGACGATATAAATGTCATTCAGACTGTGAACTGGTGATCGCGAATATATCATGCAATAAGTTTTTGGTTAATATTATTTTGCATATAGCCTTTCCGCGAAAATAAGTGCATGGGTTGGCAGTCAAATACGCGAATGGAGTGTTATATATATATATGCGTGTAAAGTGTTACAGGGCTATTTAGTACAAAATCCTATTATTCGCAATGTTCTTTGTTGAAAAAAAGTGGAAATGCTGGATGACATGAAGCCGTAAACTGCTTTTAGTATCATTTAGTTAAATCTCTTTTTTGGCGTCAATATCATGGCATAGAAACAATTACTCTTATAGTTGTCCATTTGAAGTGTTGTATATGTCTTAATTATCATTATGTTAATGCTGCACTGGTCAAGTTTGTTTTTTAGACTTAGATGTGTTCCATTAGAACTATGAATGAAAGATCAGCAATATGTGCTATGTGATTTTGATTTATGAATTCTATGTCCTTCTGACAAGTCATACTTGACTTAAATGTGATTTGATCAAGTATATATATGGCTATAGCATGGTGATTGCTAGACTTCAAAAAATAGACTTCGAGTACTCGCAAAATGTTTACTGTTTGTACAGGCATCGATGCAGACACGGAAGCTCTTAAGAATAAAATTATAAACTCTCCTATTTAAAAGGCCTTAACTAAATAGTTAACAATCATATCATTATCACATCTTAGCTTAGGATCTCCTCTGAAGAAATTTCTAAATTTGTGTCGGCTACCTAAACTACATTAAAAAAACGTCAAAATGTCGGTACATCTCGGATTCTAGTAAGTTATCCACAACCTTTAAGTCCAGTTTAGTATTTCCATGACTGCAATTAAAGATCTTATTATTATTTTTTCTAATAAAGCAGGGGGGAAATGATGGATTGCATTATTGTTGGAGTGAAAAAACTCTTTTGATGGAAAGATAAATTACGTGCTTTTGAGGATTCTTTTTAATCGGTTGACAATTTCACTTTTCTACTCTCTACACTACACTTCCAAACAATCTTTTAAAGCTATAATTATGTTTAATCAAATAGTCCTTTGCAAAATCATTTGCTGCAACTCATGTAAAGTCTTCTGAAATATGAGATAATTAAAGCTGTTAATTGTGTCCTTTACAACATCTATGTACGTTACGGCAATTAAGTTATAGGTATTCCTATGGGTACCTTATGCGCCCCTTCAATAGCAGACTTATTCCTGAATTGTTATGAATCTCAGTGTATAGCCAAACTCATTAATTGTTAAGTTTTGTTATCATACATTACTTAAAATCATTTACTAAATTCTGTCATAGCTACACAGATTTGGTTTGGAAGTTTGACGGTTCCTGTAGAAATCTCATTACAAACGGGATATCACATCCTAATTGTTAACACTGTAGTAAGATCTTTGAATATTGTCTTCATCAGTAATAACTATGCCACTCATACCACATCTTCCTATATCTATAGACTATGTGTGGCTATACAGTTTTGAACGCTTTTGGTCTACATCCTGTCGATACTTGTATTTTGGTATTGCAAAAAGCCATGCTTTTCTCATACTGTTTATGATGGCTTTACACTTAATCTATTGGACGTGTACTGATTCAAGTTTTAGTCTTGACAACGTGGTTTATTTATTAGTGGGAACTGATTGGATTTGAATTAGCTGTACTCTTAGATCGGTACCTTGTGTCTTTTAATCTGATAAGTCAAATCTTTGTAAACTGATTTTTATAGTTTCTTATGTTGTCCCAGGTTATATGAGGGGGTTGGTCGCTCACAAACATCCCTAAACCCGCCATACTCTTTATGCGCCTGTCCCAAGCCAGGAGCCTTAATATAAATGGTTTTGTTGGTTGCTAGCTGCCCGTCGTATTTGTTTTTCGTTTTTTGTTTTTAGCAAAAATCAGGCTGATGTTTTTTTCTTTTGAATCACTACAGCTTATCATGTGGTCATGCCAGGGTTTTTTTTTATAGCTTACTATAAGGCATGGGTTTTGTCCATTGTTGCATACAGTGCCCAATATATAGTTGTTTACCAGAACATCTTTGTCCTTTGGTCTCTGGTTGATAGTCTCATTGGAATTACAGGGGCGGATTCAGGCGGGATCGTGGCGGGCGTGCACCCCCCCTTAGAATTTGCAAAGCATGGGTTGTCCTTACCTTAATAAAGAATATTTCGATAATTTTACATCAAAATATTGTTCGACTCGCTCCGCTCGGCGAAAATTAAAGTTTGCGCGCCCCCCTAACCTAAAATCCTCAGTGGATCCGCCCTGGGAAATCATACCACATCTCTAAATTTTTCATAGTATTTTATATGGTTAAAGTTTGATAAATCTTCACTGAATGCTAATGAACACTGAAGTTCGACATATAATCTGTAGCATTAGTTTATTTTCGGTCCAAAGAAATGAATACACGATTTTTTTTACGTATTCCAATGATTATAAACTTATTATTTTTGTCCTATCAATATTGTGATTTTCTGTCCATTCACAGTGATACCCCATAATGGTAAAGTAACAGCAGAGACATATAATTGTATTATATGTCTCTGGTTACAGTAAATGGCCATGTCACGGATTTTGGCAAAAGTTTGCATACAATTTAGGCATATTGAACTCTAATTGAAATCGAATAAATAGTGCATGTAACTATTTTACTTGCTAACATCAGAGACATATAATACAATTGTATTATATGTCTCTGCTTACATCTTATTGAATGAACATCCGTAGATATGTTCCAATATTGTATAGAATGTACGTAAACTCAATCAGAAACTTGTCAGTAAAAACTATCTGTAAAAACTCCTGGTTCTCAACACCCTGCTTTTAAAATGATACGTTTTTACTCACATAATTTTCCGTTTTAAGGATACAAAATAATTATAAAATCAGGGTAACAGTATACTCTAGCCCCCCCCCCCCCCCCCCTAAAAAAAAGGCGAAAAATCAAAATAAAACAAAACAAAACAAAACACCACAAGCGACAACAAATAAATAAAAAGAAAAGAGAAAAATAAAAGAAAAGACGCAAGTTAAATATAGTATATACACTGTGAAAAAAAAAAAAAAATGTCGTAAAATTACGACATCAGCAACTTTACGACATCAAATCCTATTGAGGACAGCTGGGCAGTATCGAAACTAATGAAGATTTAAAAAAAAATACCCGTTACTTAAATTGAATAATACGCATACGATATTTTATGATAAAGCTCTGAAAAGATCAACATGATTTATAAAAAGAACTGCACAAATCTATCGTCAACAAGGTACACACTCAACAACACAGACTTCAGCTGTTCAGAATAGCGCATGCATTTGTCTCTGAAATAAAAGCCCCCATATACCTTAATATAATATTAAGGTATATATAGGTATTTTTTTCAGAGTCAAGTACCTGTGTTCAGAATATATAACTATGAAAATAAGAAGATGTGGTATAACTGCCAATGCGACAACTCTCCACAAGAGACCATATGATGTAGAAGTTAACAACTATAAGTGACGGTATGGCCTCTAACAAGACCCTGAAATGACCATTGTAAAACAATTCAAATGAGAAAAAAGGCCTGATTTATCATTTGTATAAAATGATAAGAGAAAAACAAATATGATATACCGAGGAATTATTGCAAACTTGTACCAATGTCAACTTGTACCATTAAAAACAAACTCATACCACTGCAAACTCTTACTACGGGAAATTTGTACCATTGCAAACTCGTACCAACTTATTCAAATTCATTCAAATGGTGTTAAAATATGAATAAATATTTAAATTTCACTAAATAACTCATAAGTCTATAAAAAGTATATAATTTGAAATCACCATGACCAATTTGTAGCTGATTTATCCTTGGCTAATTGAATAAAGAAAACTGTAGTAGATTTGATTTGTTGTCTCCCTTGAACTGAGTTCGATTATTTAACTTTTACTGATAAATATATGATTTAATGTTTAATCATTACAAATTAGTTAAATTGAATAGATTTTGGTATTTATAATTTGTTTCTAAAAGTAAATTTATTTATTTAGAGATATTATTTAACCTGTTTTGAAAAGTTTAAAATTTTTATGAAAAAATTTAGAAAGTTTGAAATTTCTTAATATAAAAAATACACTACCAAATGAGCTTATCAAATAACTTAACCCATATGAAGCATTAGCTGTGTAAAATATTTTGTGGTGCATCTATTTGTATCTTAACCAGTATGCTTAATAACATAACTAACAATAAGTTTCATTTTGATAATCAGGAACTTTATTTGATAATAGGCATTCCAAGCTGTTAAATTATATAGCACCAATCATAATTTAATAATATTGGATTAAACAAGTTGATAAAGTTAACTAAAGACACAATAACACAATCAAAGGAATGGTAATTAAGAAATTCAATTTTTTTTATAAAGACTTGAAAAAACTATTCATCAAACATTCGTAATTGTATTTTTAAAAAAAAAACAATGCATATATTTTTAATGGTATGAGTTTGAAATGGTACGACTACACAGTAGTACAAGTTAACATTGATAGAAGTTGCCTTTTAGTGGTATAAGTTTGCAATGGTACGAGTTAACTTGCTTCCTATACCGGGTACGAGCAACAAACGACAACCACTGAATTACAGGCTTCTGAATAGGGACGGGCACATACAGAATGTTGTGGGGGTTAAACATGTTTGCTGGTGCCATACCCTGGCGTACCATCCCCCTAACCTTGGACAGTGGTGAAACAGTACAGTAGTAGTCCAAATAATTATGATGTCTTGAAAGACTATTTTTATTTGTTTGCTGTGGTGCCTTCCTTATTATAATTTACTATCTTGTAAATTAAAAAAAATCCAAGTTATTCAAAGAAAAAAGCCTGCAACACCAGACCATTAATCATTTCTGTATTAGAAAGTATAATTAATAGGATTATTATGGGGGAAGAAATATATGACTTCATAAGGAAATGAAATGAAATGTAATTTCATAATACATGAGATACATGTAGACAAAATAAATTTAAGCTTTGGACTGGATTTTATTCTTTAGCATACATAAAACAGAAAAAAAAAACTTCTATAAAAAGGTGAAGTTAAGTCTGAAAAATACTTTTTAAGAAAATAACTCTTGATCTCTCTCAATAAAATAGTATACTTATATACCTAAAATGTTCAATAAAATAGTATACTTATATACCTAAAATGTTCAATAAAATAGTATACTTATATACCTAAAATGTTCAATAAAATAGTATACTTATATACCTAAAATGTTCTGATATTTGGTATGGAGGATTCAACTTTAATAAGTGTGACTTATTTCAAGTTTTGAAAATCACTGAATTAGAAAAGTGATTGAAAAATGATAAAAAATATTGGACAAAAGGGAATCTTTTAATCATGTATGTTGTGCTGTAGGTCTGTAATTTAAACTATGGTGTAATATGGGCAAGGTTCATTTGTATTGTTCGTCTGCTAATTATCTTCTAATTAAACCTGTGTTGTCATTCAAATAATTGAATATGTCATTTGTAGTATTTAGATAAAAGTGTTTTGTTTCCTTTTATTTTGAGTAGACATGACATAATACAAAGAATATATAAGAATGATTTTACATTATTTTCTGCTGTTTTTTTCTATTAACCTGACCTCTAGGAGGTAATACAAAACTTTTCTTTATAAAAATAAGGAGATGTGGTATTGATTTGTTTATTTTTGGCCATTTAAATATGAAAGCAACCGTAATGGAAAAAGACTTTTTGTTAAAATAAGAAACTTTTAGAACAACACAAAATTTCGTAAAAATTTGAGATATTGTCCATTTAGTTATTTGTTACCTTAACCCTCTTTCTTTTTTCATTTTTAAATATATAGAAACCATGTTTTGGGGTGAGGGTTGATTGTACATGAGTTAACATTATAATTTTATAATTTTCCTGTGAAATACATTTATGAAGTATCAAAAGAAAGATATGATATTAAAACCTCGGTTGTTATCATTGCAATAAACTATTATACTGGTTGGGGGACAGTAACCTGCCATTTTATAAAAGATATGTTGCATAAATATGACAAACTGCTGTTATTTACAGACACATATTTTTATTTCCTTAAAGAAAACTTCAATATGTGAGAACTTTGTTGCGTTCAGACAAAGCAGTATCTAAGCATGCTTTTGACTAAAAATTTCTTTCAAATGCATTACAAAGATTTTAAATTTCAAAATTAAACACCTAAGCTCCTCTTCGATACAATTTAACTTGTTGATTTCAAGTGAAATGAATTCATGTTTGGTTCAGATTTTTAGAGGAGGAAGAAGAGAAGCTTCAAAATTAAATTTCCAGAATGAAGATAAGTTTGGTTCATTTGGAAAACCTTCTTCTCTTCTTTCAAAAAAGAACCCAAACAAAACATGACATTAATGTCCTGATTTAAATGAAAACTTCTTATCATGCAGTGGCTAGATTGGTAAGTTACAGTTACTGATCCTGTGTCATTAAAATACCACTCAAAAATTACTAGTATAAAAATAAGAAGATGTGGTATGATTACCAATGAGACAACTCTCCACCAGAGACCAAATGATGTAAAAGTTAACAACCATAGGTCACTGTACTGCCTTCAACAATAAGCAAAACCTATACCGCATAGAGGGCTATAAATTTGGCCCGAAATGAAAAATGTAAAACAATTCAAATGAGAAAACTAACGTCCTGATTTATGTACAACATAATTAACGAAAAACAAATGTGGTATACAGCAACAAACAACAACCACTGATATAAGGGCCCCTATTTTAGGCACAGAAAGTGGCAGGGGTTATACAGGTTTGATGGTGCCAAACCCTTTCCCTAACCAAGGACAGTGGTGTAACAGTACAACATATGAACAAACTTTGAAAATCAGTTGAAAAGAGCTTAACTCATCAGATCGTTACAAAAGCACAAAAAAACCTCAACACAAAACACAAGACACAAAGTACAGATCTGAGAGTACTTACAGTTACTGAAAGCTAGTTAAGTAACCTGTTTTACTTTGCTAATTAGAAGATTTAAAGTCTGAGCAATTGATAATGTACAAAACATGTATTAAGTGTGTAAACCTCATACTTGGTTCCCTTTAGATGTTACAACAATATTTACAAACAGAGTTCATGATATACAATATCAATTAAAAATGAATTTCTCACTGTAACTGATACTAGATCAAAAGGAATTCCATATTGTCAAAATATAACAGTATTATATTATTTCTTACATAATTTTGTATTTGTTTGCTTTTTTTTTAGAGGGCACATGGAATTAAAATATCACAGCCTAATGAATTTGAACAGCAGTACAGACCTGCTGTTATTGCACATCTTCCTCCCTTGAGTGCTAAAGAGGTAAGTGACACATAGTCATGTAGCAGTATATCTGACAAAGGGTGACAGGAAACAAGACATTCTGATGTGTTTTATCTATTTTCAGGTGTGCTATATCAGTGTTCTGGTCAGTTATAACAATGTTTTTTGCACTTTTAGAAGGATTGGTTAAGATCTTGCTACATGAAATATCATTGTCCTTCGGTTTCTGGTGAATTGTTTTCTAATTGGCAACCATACCACATCTCCTAAATTTTTTAGTATATGCACTGGCTTATTTGGTTAAACTGTTCTGACTGGAATTCAAAATGCAGTTTAAAATATTGGCTCAAGACATGATGTTACTTTTCATGTGTGGTCTTTAAGTGAAATGGACGGACATTTTTATAAAAATTAGGAGATGTTATTAAGTTTTTAGGTGAAAGTAAAATTGAACAAGTTATCATCATAAAGACTAATTTAACTCACTGTTCAATATAAACAGAAGTTACAAAATGCACTTTCGGAAGCTGATATTTCTGAGTATATGCTGTCTGTTGTGTGTTATTCACTGTGTACATACGATTGATACATGACAGAGTCAGAAATGTGAGAATGTCACTTTCGGTCAGCAGCAATTATTCTGGTTTAGTCAAATGTTAGTGAATCACTCAACACCATCAAGATAAATTTTTTTGCACATCATTTTGTAAACATTCCATGGTTAAGAGCAATGTATAAACTAACCCCAAAAATTATATTTAATGATTGACCTTAGAAGTAATTTGATCAGTTTTTGAAGTCCCTTAAACCACAGTAATATGGAATGAAATGATATTTTTCATTACCATATTTTGAAAACCGCTATCAATTGCAAAGTCATTAATTAAAGCAAATAGATTATAAAAATAATGTTTTGGCACTGAATTTTTTTTCTCAATTGGTAAAAATACCGATGTACAAATGTAGGTCTCATTTTAACCTGTTCTATCTCTGAATATATAATGTGTTCACTTGTTGGACTTTCAGATTTAAGTCTTATCCACACATTTTATTCGTTAAACCACAACCAGTGTGATGTTAAATGTAAATTAAATATTTAATTGGTTTTGGGAAGTGTTTGTAACTCAGTAATATGATAATTCATTAAATATGTGTTTATATTAGTAAAGTAGTGTAAATACATCAGTGATTTTAAATGTATAACACTCAGTCCCCTTCATGTTTGCCATAGACAGTAGAAGTTCGTCGTCCAAGGGAAGTTGTGTGACTTCTATTCTTTACTGTGTACATAATCATTGATTTGAGCTTTACAGAAGCCAATCTTCAAAATTAGCGAGACTTCTGTTTTTGTTGTGTTTATACTCAGGTTGTCATTACAAACCATATGAGAATTGAAATTAAAATGAGTTCATGACCAGCAGTAATAAGTTTTCTAAACTGTCAACACATATTAATGTCATTAAATGTAATCTCCATTAAGTAACTAAAGGTCCATTTTTGTTTTGACGAATAAAAAATTAATCTTTGTCATGTTTTGCACTGAAAGAATAATTTTTATGACAAATTTGATAGAAACATGAAGATCTTCAAAAACGTTATAATTTTTTTTCTTTAAAACTGTTTATCAAATTTTGTGATTATCTGTTTAAAAAGTTCAAGTTAATTCATGATAAGTTACTAGTTGGATTAATACAAAATACAATTACAAGCTGTACCATAAGCATATGATATGACCATCCCCCTTAATCATTGAAGTCCCATAATTCCTGAACAACCAATCTGAAAATCCAAAAACATTTGAAAGAAATAAAATTTACAGGTTTTAATTTTGTTAAAAATTTCATACTAGAAAAAAGGACTTTTCTTTAGACATTTGAAAACCTATCCATATTTTGATGAAGTCCCTTAACTTGGGAATTTGAAAAGAGTTTTTCTCTATGGAACAAAGCAATGCGTGAAAAATTTATAAAATACCCAATAAAGCAAACTCGAGTTATCTAAAGAAATGCTTTAAATTGTCAAATTTTTCCAATTAAAGTCCCTCAACTTTTAACACTAAATTCCGAAATTGAAAAAATGCATGTCTAATTAAAACTACACATTGTATACAATTTCATAAAGATTCATTAAAGTAAAAAGTTATTGCATGATATTCTTAAAAGTATATGGATAGATACAAACAAACATGGACAATGGTTATTTTAGGAGGATGTGTCAAAATGGCCATATCAAAATTAGATTCCTATTGCTGAGGGAACCCCAAAACACGGATAAATCAACCATTGAATATTGTCCCATTAGCAATGTCACATATATGATATAACAGCAATATTGTTTTGTTAATGTTAACAAAACTATTGGACACAAAAGTGCCCTTGAAATAAATTTCTTTCTCAGTTTCACTTAATGTCCACTGTTAAAGGCTCACAAAGTAAAGAAGATTGATCAAGAGCGTGAATTTTTGAACATTTAAAGACTTTTGGACAATTTATTTTATTTACTTTAGTTGTGTATTAAAACATTTTAATTCTATAAAAGTATATTTACATTGTTACGTTGACCCCCAGTGTTTTTTTTATCAAAGAACCTTGAAAGCAATAAAACTTAACAAATATATGATAATTGTGTATATAGTGTTTAAAGAATTTAGTATTTCACAAGAGGCTACTAAAAACTGTCAAAAGTTAAGGTCAGAAAGAGAACTTAACAATGAATTGGTAACCCAAAGAAGTTTTTTAACATTGGTGTCATCTTTGAAGTATGTAGGTCTATAATTTTTTAAGTTAAAAAGTGTGAAAAGTTTTATTTTTCTTAAGATAAAATAAAAAGGGAATATATATTATGACAACTATCCATCAAACACAAGAAGGTTGAGGAAGTTGAATACAAATGACGAAACTTGTCATAGATTTTGTGTCATGAATTAACACCATTTCCCTCCCTTTCTTTCATATAATTAATATCATTTTGATAAGTTTTGTTAAAAGCTTCGTATTCTGTTAAATGAACTGCATACTATAGTAGGGGAATATTATGTTTTCCGGTCTGTCTGTGAGTCCTGTACCAGGTTAACATTAAGGCTTTTGGTAGTTTATGATATAGCTGTGGTCACATCAACTTTAAACTTACCACACATGTTAATTACGACTTCAACATTTAATAGTTTTTACCCAAATTCTGTGGTTTACTGATTATGTTAAAGTTTTTGTTTAAGGTAATTTACCATGAAGTTGTGGAATTAAGCGCACATTTTCATTATGACAATAACTGTGGCTTAACTTCTTGAATTTTGACCGAATTTAATACATCATTGTGATAATGTTAAGAACTACAATAATGTGGAATTTTGAAACAATGAATTGATTATGGTTTGCACTGTAGTTCTGTTTAGAACAGATAACTTCCAAAAAATGTGAAAATTCCTTGTGTCTCACTTCCTAATTACTGAACATGTTTATTCAGTGGAAAAGTTCAGTTTGTTTAGGTTTGATGTCATGAATTATAATATTAAAATAAAATTCAAATTACCCATGTACAAGTATTTTTATACCCACTTCTAAATATTTTCTGTTGCAGTACATTTGAGTACTATCCAATATTATTATTGCATATTGCAGTGCAAGTATTTGTTATTCATTCTTCTTGATCCATGAAAATATTCATTCATCTTTCAGGATTGGTTTTTCTTCACAGGCAGATTTAAATATCATTTCAGTAGTTAATATCATCAAATAGATATATTTATGAATTCCTTTCAGTTGAGTTTCTAAACGAAGTTCTCAATATGTCATCGTCTTTTGTCGGAAATGTATTTTTTTAGACTGTGTCAATAAAGATAGGTACATGGATATGTATGTTATATAAGTTCAAAGTGATTATTATTAGATTTTGTTGTCGAACATTTCAAAGCCTCAAAGTTCATCTGATTTATAATAAGTTCATGATTGATAAGTGATAAATCTTCAAAAGCTCGTTTACTGACAGTCAGTATTCAATGACATCTGAGAGTAGATTTATAAATTATCTCAAATATCAATGGTACAAATATATCTCATTGTCAAGTTCAAAATTACGAAATATAAATTAACATGATGAATGCATGGTGACTACTTAATGTTCAGTTGCAAATATTACATGGATTTGCAATAAGATTACATAATAATGAGTCAATAGCATACAAATATACTAACTTTGAAGCATATTTTTAAATTTGTTAGCTCATTAGGTAAGCATGTACCATGAAGAAATGTTCACCGTAATTAGTTGCATTTTTCTGATGTCGAGCTGACATATGCTTTTTCTCTAAATGTTGCATACTTAATAGAAAAGGAATTAATAAATACCAATTTGAAGTCTTTGGGTTGACCAAGTCAAGGATCAATCCCATGACCTCTAGTACAGCATTTGCCTCTGATTTCATGGTTGTAAGTAATGGATGTAGGACTATGTAGATATTGTATGAGAGTAATTGTGGTACAAACACATGTACCAGCTTAAAGTGAAGTGATCCTGAATATTAACCTTCTAATAGTTACAAGCTTGAGAATAGAGTTGTTTTCATTAAAGTGTTTGTTATGTTATATCTTGAAGATAAAATAGGACACAATCCTTCCCCATTTAAAGTTTCTTGTATAATTATTCATTTAGGCAAAATTTTATACCCCAGGAAACATCAAGATTAAAAAAACTGACACTTTAAAATTCAAATTAAGAATTTGTTCATACTTGTTACTTATACCTATCATTTAGAAACTGATATGGTTATTTGTGATATAATGTCTGTATATTACATAGATGTAGGGACTACCACTGTTAGATTTGAGTTTTTTGACATAACAAAATTTCAGTTTACAGTTTTAATTTTAAAACATGAATGAGCAATTTCACAACTTAGATAGAATAGGAGATTAAGGTGTGGTGAACAAGTAGAGTTTTTTTTTTAAAGTATGGTTGTATAATAGTTGTATTCACACGAATCGAGTGTAAGTTGATATATATGTTGAAGAATAATACACCTATATGCAGAGTAATTACGGTAT